CACACACTCTCACACACACACACACTCACACTCACTCACTCACTCACTCACACACACACTCACACTCACTCACACACACACTCACTCTGAACCTGTTGCTCAGGTAAAAACACTGAACGTCCAGTGATGAGTGTGAGATTGTGTGTGTGTGTGTGTGTGTTAGTGAGTGCGAGTGCGTGAGTGTGTGTGCGAGTGCGTGAGTGTGCGTGCGAGTGTGAGTGAGTGAGTGAGTGTGTGAGTGTGAGAGTGTGTGAGTGTGAGTGCGTGTGTGCGCGTGAGTGCGAGTGAGTGTGTGTGAGTGAGTGAGTGAGTGTATGACTGTGAGTGCGTGAGTGAGTGTGTGAGTGCGTGCATGAGTGTGTGAGTGTATGAGTGAGTGTGTGAGTGTGTGTGTGTGTGTGTATGAGTGTGAGTGCGAGTGCGAATGTGTGTGCGTGAGTGTGAGACTGAGGTCACTCAGTGCGAGTCATTCTTGTGAGTCACATTCACACCACATATCATGACATTATCAGCTGATCTCTGAGGTGAAGCTCGTTAACGGCTCAATAAACGTCGGAACGAAACTAACAGTAGACTGCAATGTTTTATTTAAAAAAGCAATTAAAAATGGAAAATCCATTTGAACAGATTTAAAATGATCTTCAGACGTGTTTGATGTGATTCAGTTTTTATGAGAGAATGAACACATTCCACTCTTAATAAATAATATTTCTGGCATCATTTCATATGATGCTTCATGACAGTAAACAAAAGATGTTCCTGCCGTTTAAATGGACACAGTGACCAATCTCTTCATCAGGAAAAAGAGGGTGTGTCCAGTCGAGAAGATTGACAAGATTCACATTATCTGAAGGACTTAAATCGAGGCCTGATCATAACTCACATTTATGAGGCCTTGACAGAGCAGCAGGTTGTCACACGTCATTCAGTCTGAGCTCCGCGGTGGCCAGGAACGTAACGGGGTTATGGTTGCTGGGTTCAAAGGTCACGCTAAAACAAAGCCTAAAGGCTTTGAAGTGACCGTCAGCGTCTAAAACAGTGACAACAAGAGAATCAGACAGAAATGAGCGGTTCTCAGATCCACTGGTTGTTCAAATGGAGACGAGCGAGACGTTCACACACAGATTGTGGAGTCATAGGAGCCTGTGGAGGAAATATTTCAGACCACAGTTCATCTGATTGAGGAAGCATTTGTACATGTTAAATGCATAAAACATGACTGAATGGAATGCTCTCTCAATAAATAATCATAAGAAATAAAATAACAATAAATAATGTTTAAAAAAAAGAAAAGAAAAAGAAAATTATGCAGGATACATCAGCACAGAGTCTTGCAGCATTTGTGGAAGGAGCCACACCTTAAGTCCACCCACCCCCACGACACACACACACACACACTAAACCCACGACACACACACACACACACTAAACCCACGACACACACACACACACACTAAACCCACGACACACACACACACACACTAAACCCACGACACTCTCACACACACACACTCTCACACACACACACACACACACTAAACCCACGACACACACACACTGAACATCTTCAGGTCGCGATTATAATTCACCTGCAGTGACGTACTCTCATGAATATTCCCGCGCCACTGAAGCGCGCTCAGGTCAGATCTGCACCTGATTCACAACATTACACTAAAGAACAGGAGAACAGTGCGCGTGTTTCTGCAGGAGCTCGCCGTGAGACAGGACCACACCCTTCATCCTCCTCATGTCTACAGCTCCATCCCGCTATCTGTCTCTCTCTCCCCGTCTGTCTCGGTTCAGACGCTCCGCTGATAGTAACGCTCGCGTCGCGTCGCGTCGCGCTCAATGGGGCGTAAGAACAAAAGAGACGCGGCACGCGCGGCTCCACCTGCGGTTTGCGTGAGTAAAGACAGTGATTCCTCAGCCTGCTTTCAAAGCGCCTTTACGACATTAAACATCAAACCTCCCGTTCACTTTATAAGTCGGTAAAGCCGTTATATACCGGAGACCCGCCCCGAGAGCAATCAATGCTTCATCACATCCAACATTCCTCTCCAGAGAAATCATTATAATTCCTGTGAGACATTAATATAAGTGTGTGGATCTCCTCAGAGAGCCTCATCACACACACACACACACCACACCCTGAAACTCCTCTCACACACACACAGCTTCACTACTACACTCACATTAAACAGCATCAGACTCAAATACACCTGATCTGTCCGCTGCTGCTGCTGCGTGTGGGTTAGTAGAGCTTTGTGCAGGACTGTGATGCAGGAACGGGCCACATTAAGGCTGCAGTGTACCTCCAGAGCGCCGTTCACATGATAACAGCTCTGAATCGCTCCTCGGGACCCCTTCTCTCCGGCTGTCGGGGGTTCTTGAGCAGCCGATTCCTCCAGGACTCTTTCGGCCCCCAGCAGAACATCTTCATCAGAGCTGCGCGCTGTTCTCGTGACGCTTAAAACATCTTCTTGTTCTTCTGCGTCTGTGAAGGTCAAACCACCCACGTGTTCAAACACTGATTCACTTTCCCTCACAACAGCATCTCTGAAACACACATTTAATGCTATACACCAACAGCTTCACAGAATTAGACAGATAAATAGTGTTGTAAGTTAATCAATTATAGAAGAGAGGAAACTCATTAGCAGGGAAATCAATGGCAGAAATCAATCAGGTGCATCGATGAGGGGCTGCATGAATGATGTCGACTGATTCTCGGTGATTCACGCCTTCGTTTGCTGTCGGTTTAACTGGAATGCCGTTATCTCTGCATGAGGTCTCCACATGCATCTAAAGAGACGTCCTGGTCATTTTAGGATCCGTCCCACGAACTGACACCAGTACAAGAGGTCAGAGATGCAGAGGTCACAGGTCAGCATCCTGAATTCAAGCTCCTCCTGAATACTGATTGTTTTTGTCCATACACTGATAGTCAGTGGGATCCCAGCGTTCTTCAGAATATCATTTGTGTTCCACTGAAGAAAGAAACTCGTACAGGTTTGGAACAATAGGAATCATATTCGACTGAGCAATCTTCTGAACATCAGCTTTGAAACATCTTGGACTGTGAAACGTTCTACACAAATGTCTTAAAAGTCACCATGAAATCAAAATGGACATTTTTTCCCATCAATCAATTCCCGTTGAACAAAATCAAGCCCTGCCATGTATATTGCTCCTCATTCAAGAAACCGCTTGACTCTGTCAAATTAGGGAAGTAAAAGGCAATTGTAACTTCGAGGAAGTAAGCTATGGACAAGACTTCCGGTTCTTTAGCCGCTGAAGGGAATAACGAGATGAACAACAACGAGCAGTAAGCAGCAAAACCAGCTGTTTTGCAGGATGAAACCTGAAGCCAGACACATCAAATGTACAAACCCCCGCCCATAAGGTGGATAGCTGAAAACTATAGACAGCTCATCAATTAAAGAGAAGTCTTACAGCCAACAGATCTACTTTATGATGATATAATTACTAATGGATCTCAAGGTGGAACAGGAACAGCTTAGGTTTAGGGCTTGACACGCACAGTCCTGAAAGCTGAGGTTGATCAGAAGGATCAGATAAAGATGTACTCCACTCGCAGCAGAGCTTAAGTGGTTGGTTCAGATGTGAGATGAAGCTCCTGTGGTTTCCTTCAGGAGAGAAGAGCACGGATTAGTCACGTATCAGTCACAAATTGAATAATCCATACTACGTTTTATTCCATAATAAAGATAAATGACATTTATGCAGCACTGCTTATACAGGCAGCAGCTTGAATGTGAAATGAATACATATGGAAAATGTTAAATACAAAACACACAATAGAGCATATGTGTGTCCTCATGAATATTCATGAGTAGTGTGTGCTATGTGTTATAATAAACACCCTTTCTTTGACATGTGATGACGATCTCGGTCCTGTCAGGAGTTTCAGCTCAGCGTTGTGTGTGTTTGATGGTGTTTGTGCTACAGGTGTAACAGTGTCTCAGTAATCAGTGCGACGGACTGTGACTCGGTGAAGGTGTGTTCATGCGGTTTCTCATGCATGTAGTCGTCCTCATATTCAAAGTCCTGAAACAAACACCACAGTCACATTTATTTCTACAGAGCTTTATACAGATCGTCTCAAAGCAGCTTCACAGAAATAGAGACAGAAATATAACAGTGTTAATGTTGCAAAATTCATCAATTATGAAACTGCAGAACACAACAGAGCACAAGAGTCAGTTCCAGATGAACAAACTCCATTTATTTTCTCTAAGGAAACTGATTTTTAACAATAACAGATCTTTACAGACAGGCCTGTTGTGAGCACCAAGGTTGTTCTCATCTGTTTGCATGAATTTAACTTATTTTTTTAAATAATCATGCTTAATAACAGAATTCATGGTGAAAAACTAAATTTCCCATGATGCTGTACAGAAATATTCCACCAATCAGAGAGTAGCAGTGAACAAAGCAAGCAATATCTAGCTCCGCCCCACTAATTAATTAAGTCTCTCTACTCTCTCAAATTCCTTAAATATTTGTGTATACATGCCTACTCGTCAATGAACGTAAAATATAACGTTTCTATAGATACAACCAACAATTTAAATGTAATAGTTTTATATTTCTGTCATTTTTATTTCAATTCTGTAATTCGCAATGCTTCATGGGATTGTAGTTCTTTCCCTCACCAAAGCTATTAAGCTCACAATCTTTGTCTTTTTGTTTGATTTCCATTTACTTTTTGCTTCAAATCAAAGTTTGTAATGTTGTGATTCTCCTCGTGTCTGATTGGTTTGGTTCATGGCTCACAACGCTTTTACGAAGACTTTTTAAAAATCCTTATGGGAACAATACTTCCAGAAACAGCGCTGCTGAAAACGTTGTCAGCATTAATGCACTCTATAGTGTCATAATTCAGTTCAGTGTTGATTCAGATCAGTTCAATAACAGTGTCAGTGTTGCAAAGTTCATCAGTTATGAACGCATCAGTTTTAAATCTGAATAAACACTACAATCCAACAAACACAGACACGTTTATCATCTAAATATCTCGTCCACACTACAGAGGGTCGTTCACCTTAAAGTAGCAGCAGCAGCACAGGGTGTGTTTCTGTTGCGTCTGGCCGTAGAAACGCTCATCACTGTGAACAGATGCAGTCATTACTCACATATAACACCACTCTGAACCGCTGGTTTCATCAGTTTCTTACCCAGAGGCCTCCTCGATGGGCGAGTGATGGGCCGCGGCGGGACTCTTCTCTGGCACGGACCAGCACGGACACAGGATTCGACCCAGCAGCACCAGCGTGATGATTCCTGACGGCACCAGAACAAACACCAGCAACACGCCGACATCCGTGAACGCCAGCGAGCGTCCTGACAGAAACACAGACGGCACACGCTCAACACGCAGTAAAACAAGATTATACTGCGTCCGGGTGAATCTCAGGAGGAGTGTCCAGGTCATATTTCATTTCACCCCATTAAAAATAAAACCAGAATAAAAAAAAAAAAAGCCTACTTTTTATTTTTGGATGCATTGTGACATTATATTCATGACAATTAAACACATTTCCTCCGAATTCTCCTCAGTGTAATGAAAATCACAAGCTCATTACGGCACATGTACATTACTGAATAAAATCCAGTTCACTTTAACAAATATTATAATGCATACTTAAGTGTCATCAATGAACATTTTTTTGTTCAACCCTTTATTTGTATAGCACTTTATACAATACAGACTGTTAAAGCAATAGTGCAGCCAAAAATAAGAATGTGCTGAAAATGTGCTCACCCTCAGGCCAGCCAAGATATAGATGAGTTTGTTTCTTCATTTTAACAGACGTGGTGAAATTTAGCATTACTTCACTTGTGAAGCCAAAAGCTGTGTGCTTATAAGATAAAGTCTATAATAACGCTTCCTCCAGTGAAAAAGTGCATCTGCTGTTGTCTCTCACATCAAAATCCAGCCACATATTTGTTTAGAGCTGTTTAAACGCTGCTTGATCTGTGCAGATTTCTCTCCTGATTCACACCAGAACACTTTTTCACTGAAGGAAGAGTTATTATGGATTATGGACTCGTAGAAAAACATTTTAATGCTGGATTTGTTTCAGCTTTTGTCTTCTCCAGATGTTAACTGATGGACTGGAGTGCTGTGGATTACTTGTGGATTATTGTGATGTTTTTATCAGCTGTTTGGACTCTCATTCTGACGGCACCCATTCACTGCAGAGCATCCATTGCTGAGACACTGATGCAGTGCTACATTTCTACAAACCTGATGAAGAAACAAACTCATCCTGATCTCAGATGACCTGAGGGGGAGCACATTTTCAGCACATGTTCATGGTTATATTAACTATTCCTTTAAAGCAGCATCACATGAATAAACAGGAACATTTTTCAATTTACTTTAGTTCGATTTAGTTCAAATGTGCTTAATTCTCAAGAAAACAGTGCCACAATGCTAAAAGACTGAACCCAAACAGGCAGATTGAGGGGTGAAACGTGACCTGCACGTGTTCAAGAGATCCTCCTCTGAGCTCATGATCATGTGTGTCGGCTCACTCTGCGGTGTGACCGTGAGGACGGTCTGGGCCGGGTGTCCGTGGACATCAGGAGGGTTGCGTACAGCGCAGGTGTATGTGCCGTTATCAGTGAGCGAGGCGTTCAGCAGCTGGATTGATGCTTCGCCACGCGACGGGCTGCCGACCCACTTCACACGACCCTTAAAATAATCCTCATTCGGCAGGTACGCTTGAGACGAGAAGTGAAAGAACTGCAGAGAAACAGATCATGGACTCAATACCAACATGTTTTTCATATTCTGCAGATGATTCTGTTATGAGCCTGCAGTGCTGATGAGAGACAGACGATTCTCTGGAGTGAAGTGTGATTCAGAACCAGAAAATCACTGCCAGACAGTACTGCATTATTTCTCTAAACACCTAACTAAATACTAGAATACAAACAAGACGACATTAAAAAACTCACAAGGACTTTAATGAAAGAATCAGTGATAGATTAATGAAAAGATCTGAATGAGCTGATTTAGAAAGAACAGTGGCGTTCACAACACAATGCTCCATTTACATGTGGGGTTCACTGGAAACACCAAACCATCCTGAGAACAGCTGAGCTGATGTTACACTGCTGAAATAAACCAGTCGTTTTACTGCACAGCCACGTCTCACACTGCACGAGTGTTGGCTCGCATCGCTGTCTGCTGCATCATTTACAGCTTTATGAAGTCACTCCTGATGGATGCTGTGGTCTCACCACAGAACACACATCCTACTCATGTGACTTCCTGCGGCCTGAGTGACTCCTGACCAGTGATTCATGCATTATGAACTCAAAGTCTTAAGATCTACTCACCAGAATGGCAGGACCACCGCTCTCGTGTCTGACGGTCCAGTCGATGGACATGAGGCTGGTGATGGAACTGGAGGAGGTGAAGGAGCAGGACAGGGTGACGGTGGCTCCTCTGACCACGCTGATCTCTGCTGGAGCCTTTACGGAGATACTACACACGCTCCTCAACAGCACTGACACAGAGACATCAGTAAGGATAGGTGTTCACACTCACTGCACTCAAAACGATGTTCACACTCATACTCACCGCACACCTTTTGTGTTTGCACACTCACTGCACAAACTCGATGTTCACAATCACTGCACACACTTGATGTTTACACTCACACTCACAGCACACACTCAATGTTCACACTCACAGCACACATTCTGTGTTTGCACACTCACTGCACACACTCAATGTTTACACTCACTGCACACGTTCTGTGTTTGCACACTCACTGCACACACTCAATGTTTACACTCACACTCACTGCACACATTCTGTGTTTGCACACTCACTGCACACACTCGATGTTCACACTCACTGCAAACATTCTGTGTTTGCACACTCACTGCACAC